TCTTGGGGCTGTCCTCAGAGGTCATCTTGGGAGCTCTCCTTGGGGGCCATCCTCGGACGCTGTCTTGGGGGCCCTCTGGGTGGGCAGCTCTTGGTCTCCTGGGGCTGTCACTGCCTGGGAGGCACAGGGCTCTTGGGACCCTTTTTGTGGTCATGTCCAACCTTGAAAGGTTTCTAGGGAAATGCTCGGTTTGCCCCTGCTTCCTTCACGTGGGCCTCATGTTTTGGTGTCAGGTATTACATAATCGCTGCCGTAATGAATTTAGAGGCCTGGAGAGGGACGGGGAGCAGCTGAGGAGCCGGATTGAGGAGCTGAAGAGGAGGTATGGGCCATGGTTGTGGGTTGGGGGCCGGGGCTGAGGGCAGGCGGGGCTGGGGCTCACGTGGCGTGTCCCCACCTGCTTGGTCCCCGCAGCGCTGATCAGAGCTTGGAGCCAGCAAGGCAGGAAAGACAGAGAAAGATCACCGCATTGAATGAAATGATCAAGAGCTATCAGGATCAGGAAGATTTACTGGGACGGGAGATGGAGTGTTTCCAGCAAGCCATAGAGAAAGACAAAGAGGAACGTTACAGAGTCATGTACGTTGAGCCTCGGGGGCGGGCTGAGGCCTGGACACCCTTCCCGTGCTCTGGGGTCCTCAAGGCCTCTTTCTTCAGTCTGCCCCCACCCCCCCGACCTCTGGACCTCACCCAGCTGTAGAGTCCCTAAAACCCAGAGGGCTCTTAGACACCCTTAATCCAGCCGCTCCCATTCCATAGGTGGGGAGACTGAGGACTTTCCAGTCAAAGTGACTTGACCGTTTGGGGCCAGATCCCGGACCCGGGGCCGGATCCCGGACCCGAGTCCAGTGCGGTTTCTCCCGCTCGGCAGCAAGGAGGGGGAGAGGGTCAAGGAGCGTGTCCTCTCCTCCAGGGTCCGTGTAGTGGGGCTCCCACGCAGCCGTGAGGCGGTCCCCCCGGGCCCGCAGGATGCCTCGTGTCATGTGCCGTCTCCTTGGTTTAGGCGAGAAGAGGCGGACGTGAAGCAGATGCTGAGCACCAAGCAGAAGCACCTGCACCACCTGAAGGAGACCAGGACCAATCGGCTGAAGCAGTTCGGCTCCCAGGTGCCGGCCCTTCTGCAAGCCATCGACGAGGCCCACAGGAAGGGGCAGTTCACCCGCAAGCCCGTGGGCCCGCTAGGTAGGGGCGGCTGCACCTCAGAGCCTGCAGCGTGTGGGGTGGCAAGGCCCCACCCTTTCCCCATCCAGGTTTGCGGGCGCGGCTCACCTTGGGACACGACGGACCCCTGCTCGTGTCGGTCGTGCGTCCGAGATCTGGGCTGGCTTGGGAGCCAGCCGCGGTAGCGGGTGCTTCATCCTGTCTCTCCACCCCCACACGACGCACCCCTGGGATCTCGCTGGGCCGAGGGCGGGCTCCCCCCTTGCGCCTCTGCCCCACGTGCTGTGGGATTTGCGGTTGTCCGTTAACAGCTTGACGCCCTCTCTCTAGGCGCCTGCATCCGCCTGCGGGACCCCGAGCTCGCCTTGGCCATCGAGTGCTGTTTAAAGGGCCTCATTTTTGCCTTTTGTTGTCACAACTATAAAGACGAGCGCGTCCTCCAGGGGCTCATGAAGAATCTCTATCCTCCGGCGTCTTCCCGCCCTCAGATCATCGTCTCTGAGTTTCGCAATGAGGTGTACGACGTCACGCGCAGGTAAGGCGTCCCGCCACCCACTGGCCAGCCGCCATGGTAAAGGTGACTGACGTTGCACGTGCTAGCCTTGATACAAGGGAGACCTGAGTTCAGATACGGTCTTAGACGCTGGCCGGGTGACCCTAGTCAAGTCACTGAACCATTCCTCGTCTGCACCATGGGGGTATTGATAGTGCCAGCCTCCCAGGGTCCTTGTGAGGATCGAAGGACCGGTAACATCGCGGTGTCAGGGTCAAGGTGCAGTGTGTCCGACCGGCTGATGAGACCAGTGCGAGCTGGAAGGCTCTGCCCCAGGTCGGGCACAGATAGTCCGTGGGAACATTTGAGGGGGGCTCTCTGAAGTGGTGCACTTCACATTTCTTTGGAGCTGCTACAATTTCTGCCTCGCTCCTAGAGCATAGCACCTTCTCTGATGTGGGCGCACCATGCTGAGTGGTCCTGTGCTAGGGTCTCCCATGTCACACAATCGATTCCAGAGTTCTTGGGGGTGTCCTCGTATCGCTTCTTCCGACCTCCGTGCAGGCGCCTGCCTCTCCTGAGTTCTCTGTAGGCATTCACACAACAGGGCCAGCTTTGGCTCTTTCTGTGTGACTAATGCATGATTGTGGGCTGCTGAAATAGCAATGACTCCATAGTCTAACCACTAGAAGGTCATACGAGAGTGATGGGAATCTCTCATTTTCCTTTGATTAACGCTTTATTATGCCATTTCTCATGGATACTTGGTGGGCTGTTTCTGGTGACTATTGGCTTCACTTGGCTAAGACCTGACTTGAGGGGTGATAGAATTAAGGGAAGGGGTTTTTGGACATTCCTCGGGTGGGAAGCTGCGGGAGAATTTGAGCTTCCCAGGGTGATGTGGTCATTAGCAGAACCTGATGCCGAGTCTGTGGGGCAGAAGTCTTCCCTCGTCTGAATGAGGTCAATCTGTGAACACCCAGAAAGTCTGGCTAACTAGCCATGTGTCCTTAGGGGATGGAAAAGGTTAGGATTCTGTTGAGCTAAGTTTGTTCAGCTTTTATGGTGTTGAAGAAAGCATGGGATTATGAATCTGTCTTTTTACCTTTCATAGTCTAAAAGAATGTATTCCTGTAATTTTCTGTGTAGAAGCTTTTCAGAAACTCCAATCTAGGCTCAGGGTGATTATTACTTTTTTTAGTTTTGAACCTGTGCTTATTTCTACAAGTCAATGGAATTTTAATATTCCTATTAGTGTTTATTTATTATGTAACCAAAAATCTGTTCTTCATGGTAAAAAAGCACAAAATTGGTGTCACTAGTCAATAATTTGAGATATTGAGGGAAAGGAGACGGGAATAAGTGTCAGGCACTGTGCTAAGCACTTTACAAACCTGATCTCATCAGTCCTCACAACCCTGAAAGGGAGGTGCTGTTAATTGTTTCCATTTTGCACTTGGAAAACCCAGGCAAAGAGAAGTTAAATGACTTTCCCAGCTACTAAGTATGTGAGGCAGAATTTGAACTTGGGTCTCGCTGACTCTAGGCCCACCTGCGTGACGGACCTCTTTGTCTTCGATATAACACCAAGAAAGGCTAGCATATGCTAACAGTTCCATTGCCTGGTCATGCCTCACCGCCACACTCTCCTTGTTGATGCACAAATCTCTGGTGCGATGGGGATGGCCGGCCCCCAGTATCTACCTGACTGGCACCCTGGGGAGGGGTTTGGGCCAGGAACTACCTGCCTCTTCTTGTCATCCAAAAGGGGTTTTCACCATTCAGGACGGGACAAGTACATTGACTTTCTTCTTCTTCCCTCCCAGAGCGGCTTATCACCCGGAGTTTCCCACAGTGCTCACGGCTTTAGAAATAGACAATGCAGTCGTGGCCAATAGCTTGATTGACATGAGGAGAATAGAGACCGTGCTGCTAATTAAAGTAAGACCACACATCCTCAGCGTTCCATCCGGTTGGTGAGATGTGTCCTTTTTTCTCTTAACCACTCTCATTGTGTGATGAGATGTTGGCCAGGTGTGTCCCGTGTCCACCTCACCCCTCATCGTGTGACGAGATGTTGGCCAGATGTGTCCCCCTCAACCCCATTGTGTGACGAGATGTTGGCCAGATGTGTCCCGTATCCCCCTCACCCCTCGTTGTGTGATGAGATATTGGCCAGGCGTGTCCCTTGTCCACCTCACCACTCTCATTGTGTGATGATGATTGTGCCCGTCTAATTTTGTCTCAGTGGAACAAGACCAAGGGGGGTGAGGACTGTTGCCCAAGAAAACCTGCCCCTCTTTGGCCACTAGTGGAACAACTGCCCGTGGTCAAACACAGATAATTCTGCATGTGACCAAAGCGAGTGTCCCGTGCATCCTCAGTCTGGGGGCCTACACTCACCCCGGATCCTTGCGTCGCTTGGCCGCAGACGTCCTGTCACCGTAGCCGCTCAGGCCCAATCCGTCATGTTTGTCAGACACAGAAAGGTTGGGACTTTGTGAAACAGTGACAGTATCCCTGGATGGTTCCCGTGCCCATTTTCCACTGCATAGTGCCCTCAGGCAGGGTTACTAACTGGCCAGGAAGGGCTGGCAGGGGCAGAGAGGTGTCCGAGTGAAAATTGGGAGGAAAAGCCAGTGATTTGTATGGGCAACTGTGTTCTATTCACAGAGCCCCGAGGGCGAGACAGTCCAAGGACGCCTGAGGTATGTGGCTCATGAAAGCCTCTTTGGGTTCCACTTAGACTGCAGACCTCCCCCTTAGCAAAGAGGGAGATAACTCTGATTTGTCTCACATCAGCCCCCCCACCAGTGGCTACTCTGTGCCCTCTCCTTGTTCTGGAACCATCCCATGTGCCCATAGCCCCTCCTCTCCACAGGCTGCCCCCTGGACCTCTCTCCCTTCTCCCATCTTCACTCAAGGTCTCATCCTGGGCTGCCATTCCAGAGAACTTGGCAGCTTCTCTCCTGCTCCTCATTTGTTGCTTCTCCCATCTCCAGTGGCCGCCGCCTCAGTGGTACGTCCCTGCTGCCCAGATCTCGCATCCTCAGGTGACCCCTTCTTACCTGGTCATCCTGCATCTTTCCCTTTCTCCGACACACCCTTCCAGAGAGCTGTCCCCCGCTCGGTGCCCAGCGTTTCTCAGCCGCTTGTAGTCTGGCGCGGGCCCCATTACCCGCTGAATTTGCTCGCAGAATGGACTCTCTCTAAAAAAAAAATTGTTTTTTCGATCAACTCATGTCCACCTTTTTTCCCTTTTATGAAGAAGAAAGAAAAACACGACTCTTGTTAGAGGCAGGCAGTTTCTCACGTTGGCCGTGTCCGGGAAGCCTCCCTTTCCACCTGCACCCCAAGTCCTTCCCCCAGTCGGGAGATGAGCAGCGCGTGTTCCATGAGGCAGCCAGACAGAGCCCTGGGCCTAGAGTCGGGATGACCTGAGTTCAGATCCAGCCTCAGACACTTGGTGGCTCTGGCCAAGCCACTTAAACTCTGTTTGCCTCAGTTTCCTCAACTGTGACTTGGGGGTAAAAATAGCACCTCCCCAGTGTTGTGAGATAGTCATTGTGAAGCACTTGGCGCACACTAGTGCTTAGGATGCTTCCTCTTTTCATCTTTCTGAGTCTGTCCTTGGTTGTCTGAATGGGGCTGGTTCTGCTGGCTTTGCTCTGCGTCCCTTCACACATGGTTTGCCGGTTCGCCCTCGTTTCTCACCGTACAGTGTTCTTTCATCTCCATCCTCTTGGTTTCCAGTTCTTTGCGCTGCTGTAAATATTTGTGTACACATAGGTCCTTTCCTTATTCTCTAACATTTTGGGAGTCTCGGCCTAGTCGTGGCATCCCTGGATCCAGGGGTACAGAGTTGAAGGACTTTTTGGTCGTCGCTCGGAATGGCTTTCCCGAGCGGCTGGACCAGCTGTTCTCCATGTATTCCTGTACATTCCAGCATTTTTGACAGGAGGGAATGTTGTATCTTGTCAAACGCTTTTTCTGCATGTATTGATTGATGTCATGTGATCTTGTTTTTGTTATTACTATGATTGCTTGTGTTGATAATTTCTAGTATTGAACCAGCCCAACTTTCTTGGTATAAAATACAACCTGGTCATAATGTGTAATCTTTGTGATATATTACTGCAGTTTCCTTGCTAATATTTTTATTTACTAGGGGTATTGGTCTTAACTTTTTTCTGGTTTCTACATTAACACCATATTGTTATTATGGAAGGAATTTGGTAGGACACCCTTTTCTATTTTTGCCAATAGCTTATGAAATATTAGAATTGCATTTTCTTTAATGTTTGATAGGATCACTTTAAATCCATCTGATCCTAACTCTTTTTCCCTCCTTTTAGAACTCATTTATGGCTCACTTGTCATCTGAAATGGTCAAAGGAAAGAACACACACACACAATAGTGTGCAGAAATATTTTACTTAGCAGGAAAGTAAGGCAGTGGGGCAAGAGTGAAGTAGAGAACAGGGGGAGGTCAGCGAGGGTAGAGTAAGGGGGGAATTAGTGCTGAGAGAAACAAACTCACTCTAGAAGGTGGGTTGTGAAGCAGCGGGGATGGGGGAGTGAGAAAAGCCAGGATGAAAACAGAGGAACCCAGGAGAGCAGACAGGCTCAAATCTAGGGCACAGCTGGTGAGCAAGAACTCTCCTCCCCCCTCTTCTCCTTTACAATGAAGAGGGAGGGAAATGCAGAATTAGCAAAGGGGAACCCTGAGTATCAGTGGATCAGTTCACCCATAGAAAAGAAGACAGCAAAAGGGATTACAAAGCAGAATCCAGCCAGATGTTGTTGACAAGAACCACCCTTGAAAGATTGATACAGTGTTCAAGTAAGGGGCTAGAGCACAATCGGTTATGCTTCAGCTGAAGTAAAAAGGCAGGGGCATAGCCATTGATCACAGAGGAGACAGTAGCAAAAATAGATGTTATTATAAGAGATAAATAGGAAAACTGCTTTTTGCTGAAAGGCATCAGGGACAATGAATTAATATCAATACCAAGTTTATCATCGTACTTGTATGTTATTAACACATGCATATAATTATATATTAAATATGTGTCTATGATTATGTACCATTTGTATACCAAATAATATAGGATCTAAAAATTTAAAAGGAAAGCTAAATGAGTTAAGGGAAAAAGATGGTAGAACCTGCAATATTAGGGAAACTCAGTGTACCCCTGTCAGACATAGATAAATCTAACCAAAAAGTAATTAAAGAGCAGGATAGAATTTTAGAAAACTTAGATATGACAACTCTTTGGTGACTGCTGAATGAGAATAGGAAGAAGTATACATATTTCTCAGTTGTCCGTGGCACCTTTACAAAAACTGACAGTGTATTAGAGTGTAAAAACCTCACGGAAGAGTACATCCAGTTCTCACTTAACGTAAAGAGACCATTCCACTGGTGGCTCAGGAAGCTGGAGCGGCTTCAGTGCCTGCAGTGGAGGACCCCTGGCATGAAGCTGGACTGGCGCTGCTACTGCTGCCACTTCTACCTGGAGCTGAAGTCCTGTCTCCCTCCCACCTACTGGCGAGTCAGATTTCCTAGTGCAAACTTACGTAAAGTGAGAACTGTCTACAGAAAAGCAGAAATATTAAACTCACCTTTTATAGGCCACGATGCAACAAAAATTACATTCTATAAAGAGCCGCTGAATAAATAGTTAAAAATCATTGAAGACTGACTTTATCCTAAATAATTCATTGTTAAAAAAGAAATCAAAGAAACAATAGATACTTCATTAAAGATTACAAAAGAGACGACGTGCCATAATTCTTGGGAGTGAGCCAAAGCGGTCCTTAAAGAAAAATTTATGTCTCTAGCCCCTTACGTTAATAAAAGGGAGAAAGAATAGATCATTGAAGTGGGCACACAACTGAAAAAACCCTAGATATTAAGAACCTCAAAATTTAAAATAAAATCCTGAGAATTAAAGAGATGAATAAAACTGAAAGCAAAAATATCCACTGAAAAAATGAAACCAGCTTTTTTTTTTTTTTTTTTTTTTTGGGCAGTTGGGGTTAAGTGACTTGCCCAGGGTCACACAGCTAATAAGTGTCAGGTGTTTGGTCTGAGGCCGAATTTGAACTCAGGTCCTCCTGACTTCAGGGCTGGTGCTCCATCCACTGCGCCACCTAGCTGCCCCTTTTATTTCTTAAATTAATAAAACATAAGCTAATTTTTATTTTTAAAAGACCAAATTCACGTCAAATAGAAAAAAAAGAACGAGAAATTATTTTGTCCAGTTACGTGGCAATAAGATCGACACTCTAAATGGAATGGGTGAATAGTTACAAAAATATAAAATGCCCAAGTTACCAGTACAAGAAATAGTGGACTTATATAACCTAAATTGACCAAGTCGAACCATCCACTCCGGGAGCCTTGAGCCAGGACCTGGGAGGGTTTGTTCAGTTGTCTCTGACTCTTTGTGACCCCATGTGGAGTTTTCTTGGCAAAGATGCTGGAGTGTTTTGCCATTTCCTTCTCCAGATTAAGGCAAACTGAAGTGGCTTGCCCAGGATCACATAGCTAGTAAGTCTGAGGCCAGATTTGAACTCGGGTCTTCCTGACTCCAGGCCTGATGCTCTGTCCACTGAGCCACCTGTCTCCTCTGATCCTCTGTGTACAATCAGTGGCTAAGTCCTGTCCTTCCTCCCTTTGCCACATCTCTGGAACACATGCTCTTGTCTCCTCTGATGCTGCCCCCGGCCTGGTGCAGGCCTTCTCTCCATGCCTACCCTCTTGCTGGTGTGCACCCCACCCCTCTGATTCAGAAAAATTCAGTCCCTGTGACTTTCAGGGTCCAATATAAAATTGTTCCCACTTCCTGTCCTGCCCTTCTAGTCTTCTCACCCCCAAAGACACTGGTCTCCTTGTCATTACTCACACACCCCATTCGTCTTCTGACGTGTTTTCACTGGCCACCCCCGGGTCTGAAACGCCCTCTCCTTCTCTCCTTCCTGCTCTTGGCCTCCCGGCTCAGCCAAAGGCCCATCTTGTGCCCGAGGCCTCTAGAGGCAGCTCCTCGAGGGCAGGGGCCACCCTTGACCTACCTATGTATGGCTCTGGCCCTGCTAACAGCCTCTTCCTCCTCCATGCTCTCCTGCCTTGGCCTTGGTTCCCTTGGCCTTGGCTACTGCCGCTCGGTTCAGTCTCGTGGCTTTGCTTTTCACTCTCTGGCCATTCCCCATGCATGGGTGTCCACACCCCTGCCCGAGATTCTGTCCTTGGTCCAGTCCCAGCTTCTCTTGACAGCTTGATACAGATGTGTATCTCCAACCCTGACTGCTTCCTGGGTCATCCTTTACCCCCCATTGCCAGCTCTTCCTCTTTTCCAGGTTCTTGTGCCTTTGTTGATGGTACCACTGTCTTCCATGTTGTAGAAGACATCTTTGGTTCTCCCCCAGCCTCTGGTGGCTGCTGTCCAGGTGCAGGCCCTTTGCCCCTCCACCACATGGACCATGGTCCTAATCTCCCCATTGCCCTCCCTGCATCTTCAGTCCATCCTTCATGCCGCTGCCAGAGTGCTGCACTGAGGCACAGGGCGGACCACAGCACTCCCCCCCTGCCTCCTCAATTTTTCCTCCCATTCCCCTCCCTCCATGGCAGTTCTTTCCTTTCCTTAACCCTCTTTCCCCTGACAGCGTAAGACAGAACCCTTTTTGTCCTTCAGTAGTCTGCTGTCCTTAGCTTAATCTGAGTTTTTGCGTTCTTTGAGACGATTTTTACAAGAATCTGTTCTGCTTTCTGGTCTCCCCACACTAATCTGTCCTCCACAAAGCTGCCAGTTTTTTCCTTAAACTCAGTTCTAACCATTTTGCACCTCTACAGTAAGCCTAGCAGGACAGTGTAGAAACTCCTCTGTGGCTTTGAAAGGTCTTCCTCACCTCCACCCCTTTCCAGCCTGCCTCTCCAGCTTTCTTCTGTGCAACTCCTTCTCTTGCGTGTTATCCTTGTGATCCTGGAATGGCAGTCCTTCTCGGCTTCTCTTAGAGAGTCCCTCATTGGTGGACTCAGCCCAGGCACCGCTTTTCTGCAGCAGACCTTTCCTCATCTCCCCATCTGCAACCATCCCCTTCCTGAAGCTACCTTGAATTTACTTTGAATTTATTCTTGATGTCTTCTGTCTCTGTGTGTCGTCTCTGGTCGGTTTTGTCTTTGTGCCTGCATAGGATCTCACTCGTCCCCACATCCAATCTCGGGTACGTCTCCCACTGGCCCTACCTTCGCTCTCTATCTCACAGCCTTCATTTCTTTCCTAGAAGCCAGTCCCCGCTTGTTGGTAAAAATCAGATCCAGATTAGGAAGTTCCCCTCAATGATTTAGCCACCATTTGAAGGATGACATTATCATCAAGGCCAGTCAGGAAACGGTTGGACGCTGTGCTGGTGGAGGGGGGCGGGGGACAGCAGGAACAAGATCCCTGAACCCCTCCTCAGGCCGGTGCCGTGCTCTGAAGGCAGACTCGTGAAGAGCCTCGTCTTCGGGTACTCCGGTCGCCATGTTGCTGCCACCTCCATCGGGCTCACATCCTCCTCTGGTTTCTGGATGTTCCACCACGAGTGTATCTCAGCCATAGAGGATGGCCCTCTGGCTCACTTCCTCACCCTTTCTCCATCCTGTTCCTTTTATGTCCGGCTCGTCTCCTCAGCCATCTGGCAGGCGTGGGGTCATCCCACCCATTCTCAGGGATGCCTCGTCACGCCGAGGTCACTTTGGTTTTTGTGGACTTCTTGAGACAGTCTCTGTGAGCGTCCCTGGCTGGACTGGATCTGGTCTCCTGTGATTTCTCTGGCATCTTGTCTAGTAGACAGGCAGAGGCAGTTTTCTCCTTCCCCTTCCATTGAACGACCAAGTAGATTTTCAGAACTCCAAGCACATTCTTAGCAGCCCTTCTCGGGTGGCCTCGGTCCCTGGCCATTGGTCCATCGCTGAAAGATGACAGATGACCCCGCCCCTGTCTTCAGCCAGCTCATGGGGAGCATCACAGGGTTTAATAGAGAATAGCAAATGACATCCTAGACACCTGCATGAGGGCTTACCTTAGTGCCTGCCTTTCTCCTTCCTTAACTTGTGTCCTCCTCCCTTTTCCTACTGATTGGGGTCGGCACTGTGTTGTCTTCAAACTCATTCAGAATTATCGATTGACTTGGTCTGTCTTTTCTCGAAACTTGGTTACACTTTTTCTCCACAGTGTAAATATCCAACTCATTTTCACCCTGGACCAAAATATGTTCCTCTTTTTTTTATCAGCAAAAGACTTACTTAAATTGGTTAGGATACAATGTCATTTGACTATTAAGTACAGTGTTTATGAGAGTTAGAATGTAAGATTTGTTGTGAATAATCTACATGTCCTTCGCTGAAAGCTGACTTTTTAGCCCTCATAAACATTTTAAGTAAAATTGAATAGACGACCCGATTCACAAAGCCCTGGTGGGCTTCATTTTGTTTTAGAAGGACTGGCTGATGCCCTGGACATAGTGGTCTGGTGCTGGGCCGGGCCGTCTGATGACAACTGTTTCTTGTGCCGTTCTCATTTTCAGAGCAGCCCAGTGGCACGTGCTGTGATGCAGTCTCAGAAACCCCCCAAGAACTGCAACGAAGCTTTCACCGCAGAAGGTGACCAAGTGTTTGAACGGCGCTATTACTCATCGGAAAGAACGAGGCCTCGCTATCTGACTGGGGATGTCGAGAAAGAAATAAGGTGGGTAGCAGAGTCAGGAAGCTACCCCAGAGAGGAGGGGTGGTCCAGGAAACCCTTTTGTGTTGCCCTCCCCAGCGCCCGCCCGCGGCCATTGTGCCTGGCTCACGGCTAGTGCTTCATTAACAGGGGCATCTGGGGGCCCTGCGGGGCTTAGGGTGCCAGGCCTGGAGTCAGTAGCACTGTGTGGCCCCAGGCAAGTCACTTAGGCTGATTTGCCTCAGTTTCCTCATCTGTCAAATGATCTGGAGAAGGAAATGGTAAAGCACTCCGGGATCTCTGCCAAGAAAACCCCAAACGGGGTCTTGGAGAGTCGCACACAGCTGAAGGACAGCCGATGCCCACAGTGTCATGCACGTCGTCTTCAGTGGTTGTTTTTGCCTCAATGGTTTTTGTTCCAAGAGAGGATTCAGCTCTTGGTGGTGGGGATGGGGAGTGCAGAAATGCCTCTGAAATGGAAGATGTTCATAAAACTCATTACGTTTTTAAAAGAGAGACGTGGACACAAACATCTCTGATGAGCATGCTCATAGAGCTCCACAGGCATTGGCCTTGGCTAGGACCACTGTGGCCATGCGTCTTGTCCGGTCTGCATGTGAAAAAATTCTCTCTCTGGCCTGTCCTCCCAGAGAGGGAGCCTACTGCCCCCTTCCTAGGCAGCCAGCTGTGCCAGGGGGCCCTCCTGGAGCTGTGAGGCTTTTGTGCCCTTTATGCCTAAGTTTCTTTGTGACAGCCTCCCCTTCTTGCCCCAAGGTGAGCCCCGAGGGGCCAGCATGCTTGAAGATGGCGCTCATGTCCCGCCAGCACTTGTCTTTTCTCCTCATCCTTTGCCTGGTCTTTGTCTGGCGTGGGCACAAAGGCCCCCTGTTGGCCAGGGGTTTTCTAAAATGGGTGCCCAGCACTGCACGTGTGGGTGGGCCAGGACACACACACCACAGCGTGATTGAGAAAGCTTCTGCTAAGCTCATTCACCGGGCTAAGCCCTGGGCAGACAGATGGGAAAAGTGGACAGCCCCTGCTCTCAAGGTGCTGAGGCTTTGGCAGTCAGCGAGACCCCTTGAACCTCCTAGATTATGAAAGTGCTTCATTTGGCGGTGCCAGGGCAGCACAGGGCAGAGAGGTGGGCAGATGGTCAGGCCTGGTGGTCCACTCTAAGGGCCATCTTCTGTTTTCCTTTGTGCCCCCAATGCCCAACACAGAGGAGGTACTTCTGAAAGCTTGTGAGATGGGATGATTAGCCCGCTGAAGCCCTGGGTCTTCTGCAGACCCACCACTCAGTTTTGCTCTACATGTAAGACTTCATGGTTGTCCCTTCTAGAATTCATCTTCTGAAGGGTGGCCCAGCTTGGCAGCCTGTGGGACCTCTCCCCTTGGTGCCGTGCGTGCTCCATTCTGCTCTTTCTGAGTCACGGATGTACCAATTCCTGGGGCACTCGCCTGGAGACTCATTCCAAGCCGCCATTTTACTATTTGAATCAGTCGGTCTCCCACAAAGCAGAACACAGGACTGTCAGATGTCTGGAAACCCAGGGCAACTCTGTCTTCAGCTTTCCCCCAACAGTTTAGAAACTGTCCAGAAGGGGCAGCTAGGTGGCATAGTGGATAGAGCACCGGCCCTGAAGTCAAGAGGACCTGAATTCAAATATGGCCTCGGACCAAACACTTGACACTTACTAGCTGTGTGACCCTGGGCAAGTCACTTAACCCCAGTTGCCTAAAGAAAAAAAAAAAAAGAAACTATCCAGAAAAGACAATGAACTTAGTCTGGCATGACCTTTTGTATTTGCTACATTTGTTCATTGACTTGTCTGAAATTTGTCCAGGGGTCCATTAAAAGCACTCTGGCCTGAATCTGCTTAATTTGCATGTTTCCTTTTCTTTCCTCTTTGGACGATCTGAACATTTTTGCCTTTCCCCACTCCCTGAGCAACTTCGCCATTCTCCACAGCTTCCAAGATGAGCAGTGGCCCAGGAGCTGGGCTGTCCCTCGATGACGCACTAGCTGTTGGGCGTCTTCAGAAGCGTCTCCGGGCTTGGGGACCAGCTCCTGTTGGAACAGTCAGGGTGTCTTCCTTTCCTTTATCCTGCCCCCATCATCCCAGTCTCTCCTGATCATCCTCTTCTCCCCAGAGAGGCTTTTTCAGCCTACGTGTTGGCTGCTGTATTTACTGGTCTACGTAGATGTCTCCTCCTGCCGGCTCACAGTCGGCTGCTGGAGGTTGCTGGAGCCTGCCAGTGCCCTGCCTGGCCCATGACAGGGGTGTAGTGAACGTCCTGCTCTGGACAGACAGTGCAAAGTTGGCTCTCCTTGCCACCTGGACACTTTGCTCTCCAGCGGAAGGGTCTCTCTCACACAGGTGGTGCCGTCCTCTGTCACCGTGTCTTTCTTCTTTCTTCTTTGTCTGCCTTCTGCAAGCCCAGGTTGGTGAGGGAGGGCGCCCTGGACAGGTGGCCCGAGGTGGTCACAGCCCTGCCTGTAGAGGGGGAGGGGAACAAAGACTGCTTCCCTTCCCTGCCCGTAGCAAACAGGCTTGTCTGGTGTTTGCATTTGCTTTGAATTTGCTCGCTCCTTTTCTGAGAGGAGGAAGCTTCGTACTGTGGCAGGTTTGGAGGGGGGAACATCTTCATACCCTGAGAAAGGGGGTGCTTGATAGGCAGCAAATTGGCCCCCTGACCAGCCTGCGCAGTTTCAGGAAGAAGACTGGAAGTGCCCTGAGGGCATTCTGGTTCCCTTTGATCTTTTAGTGCAGTGGGACTAGTGTCTAAAATGCCTGAGTTCAAATCTGGCCTCAGGTCCTTCCAGCTGTGTGACCCTGGGCAAGTCACTCAACCCTGCTTGCCTCTATTTCTTCATCAGCGAAATGAGCTGGAGAAGGATGTGGCGAACGGCTCCAGTGTCTTTGCCGGGAAAACCCACGTGGGGTCCCAGAGTCGCACACAAGTGAACAGACCTGCCCAGGGCCTGGCTCGGGGCTCCCCATGGATGGTTCAGGAAGGCCTGAGCACCAGGCTGGGGCACTGTCATCTTTTCTTTCCTCCTGCAGCCATTTGGAGAAAGAGGTGGAGAACAGAATGGCGCAGCTGGCTGCGTTCCAGCAGCATTTGCGCTCCCTGGAGAGTGACCTCCAGAGGAATCAGGAACTGGTCACCAGCCATCACCGGGATCTGAAAGAGCTCAGGGTGAGAGCCGCGGCCCCCGCCCATGGGCGCCAGGCTCCGGGGGTCTCCGGGGGGCCGTGTGAGGGACTCAGGCCGGGCACTCACGCGGACAGCCTCGGCGTGCAGGTGGGGGTCAGCTGAGGAGGGGTTCACCCCAGGGCCACGCAGCTCGAATTCAGCTCTTGTAGACTCCAGGCTCTGTTCTAGTCAGAGAAGCTCACATTCCTGACTGCATCGAGGTTCGCCTTTATCTCTAGAATCTCACAGTCTCTCTGTGCCCCCGTTTTGTGAGGGAGGAAGCAAGCTCCGGTACTTCCGACTCCCAGCAGGTCAAACCTGCTTGCGTTGATCATTTGTACATATTTATGTTGATGTATGAAGCCACTATGGGGCGCCACAGCGCACAGAGCGGCAGGCGCGAGTGTGCAAGACCTGAGTTAAATCCAGCTTGATGCTTCCTGGCTTTGTGACCCTGGGCCAGTCACTAACCCTGTTGGCCTCAGTTTCCTCATCTGTAAGATGAGCTAGAGAGGAAAATGGCAAACCACTCTAGTATCTCCCCCCAAAAAATACCCAAACTGGGTCACAAAGTCTGACACAACTCAACAACAACAGTGTTTCCATGTACTTTTATATGTGTGAGGTCTGCGTGCGTGCCCTGAAATAACCTTCAACCTGATAGAAGGGATCTGGGGGTCCAATGGTGTGAAGGAGGGGGCAGGAAATGAGACCTGTCAGGAGTCTGGGGGCCTGGGACTCCACGTAGGGAGCCCAGTGCCGATTCTTAGGGGTTGGAGACATCTCTGGCCTTGGGGCTTGTCCAGCATGGGGGCTGTTCTGGGACGGACAGACCGGGGCGGGGGGGTTACCATGACTTTTTGGAAACTGACCTAAGTCTGAAAAATATGTTGACCAAAAAATCCTAAATGTTTTTCTTTCAGATTAAAGTAAGAAAAATCATTGTAGAAATAAAAGATCTTGAGAACGAAGAAGAAAACCAGTCTGTGGACATCTCGACCTTGGTGAGAACGCGCAGCCTCTGTTTTCAGGCGGGCTTCACCGTTGGGCTGGAGTGGTTGTTCTCTCGTGGGCACGTGATTCCCTCGGCCGCTGTCCAGCTAGGATCTGGCCCTGCACTGCCCACAAGGCCCCTTGGCCCCAGAGCGTCCGTGTTTGTCTCTCAGCCCCCTCCACGCACTCCGCCAGGGCATCTGCTGCCCACCCGCGTTCGTGTCCTTCTGGTGTTTGTGGAATGAGACAAGCCATCAAACGTTGGGCCCACGGAGCCCAGCATGGCTGCTGTGTCCTCCTGCCTCATCCTGTGCTCGGGTCCCTCCGCCAGCCGGGTTGGACCCGTTTCACCTCTTCCCTCCGGTCCCTTCTCTTTGCCCGCTCTCTGCCGTTTGCCAGAGGCACGTCCTCGTCCCCTTGGGTGAGCAGTGCCACGTTTTTTGTATTCAGAAATGCCCTTCTTGATTCCGCTTGTGAACAGGAGGAGGAAGATGAGGAGATTAGAAAGCGAATGAAGGAAGTGGAGGAGGAGATGAAGGTTCGAAAGGAAGAAATGGAGAATTTAAGAGAGCAGAAAACGGATGCCGAGCAGACGTACGAAGACTTCAAATTGAAAATCCATCAGGTTTCTGAATCAGCGGAGCCCGTGAAGGTTTGTGGTGTTGCCTTCGGGTCTTTGGACCTCATGTCCATGGGGTGTGTCTGCCGTCAGAGAATTTAGGAAGCAGGGGCCCCCGAGCTGCGAGTGGGGGGACGCTGGCTTCCGGTTTAGCCCCTGCGGAGGCCAGAGAGGATGATTTGTTCAAGCCACCCACATAAAAGGGGCTGAGCCAGGATTAGCGCCCAGTGCCCTGGGGTCCAGATCTGATGCTCTCTTCAGTACACTGCCCCAGGGTACCGTAAAGCTCTGGCACTGAGCCTCAAGACGGGTGGGATGTTCACAAGGTCATCCAGTGGCAGGCGGGGCTGGGAAACAGCGGTGCCTTCTGACACCCTGCCCCTCCAATAATGTCGCCATGTTCAGATGGAAAGATCTGCTCTTGCTGCCTTCTCTGGGACATGAGCTTAATCCGTTTCTTTCTAGTCATCAGACTTCCCTTCAACCACCATTTTCTTCCTGCCTGGGCGGGGCTCTCGGGGTGGGGGTGGGGGGGTAGAATAGGACTCCTGCAGGGGAATGCTCTGAGGTCATGGGGTCAGAAATCAGTCACAGTTGCCCCGTGAGGATAGGTTAGTGGTTCCTGGGATCCGTCTCCAGGTCTCAGTAGTGAAGCCAAGGCCGCCATTTTGCACGGTCGTGCTCTCCAAGCTCACCAGCAGCTTCCTGATTGCCACATTCATTTGCCCTTTTTTCTTGGAGGGTTGGGGGAGTGAGATCCGGCCTCTTTGCCTCCCAGCAGGCTCCTCTCCCTTTTCCTTAGGCCGCATCCTGGTTTTCCTTTCTCCCTCTCTCCCCTAGCTTCATCTTTCCTTCTCTGGTCACCGTCACTAGCTGTGGCCTCTTCTCCGGCCTTGTCTGGATCCCTGTGCGTTCATTTCGCCAGCTCTTCCTGTGGGTTTGGGTTCAATGATGTCCCCCGGTCTGCCTCCTGCCCATCTGACCATCCGTCCCACCTCCCACCTCTCTTGCGTGTCCACCATTTGTATGATACACACATGTGACATCTGTGCCCCTTGACCGTGGCTAGCCTTCAGGACTCGGAGCAGGGCCCTCTTCTCTCTCTGTGACCTCATCAGCTCCCGTGGATTGAATTAGCGTCTCTTTGGCTGCGCCTAGGCCTGGGCTTGATCCGGCTGTCCTGAGGCCACCTCAGGCATCACGTCCCCTGTCCATCCAACGGTTCTCCGGGGCTTTCCCCTTTTGGGGGCAGCACATCCTTCCAGTCACCCCTCAGTTCATTCTCCCTCAGCTTGGTGCAGTTAGGACATGGTACCATCCAATGCACTTTACTTTTATCGAGAGCCTACTACGTGCCAGGTGCTGCGCTGAGCCCTGAAGATAGAACTGAGAAGGTGGCAGCCCCTGCCCTCAAGGGGCTTCCAGGCTGATGGGGGAGTGGAAACCCAGCAGAGCTAGCTGGAAACTGGGGGCTCCCCTCTGTGGTTCTCCAGCGAGAGGAGCTGCGGAGGTCTGGGCCCCACAGCTGATGCTGTGTCTCCATGGCCTCTCCCCCCGCCAGGGATGGGACCTTGTCCCCGTCCTATTGCAGGCGCCCCCCTCCTTGGTCCCCCAGGCTTACCTCTGCCTGGTTTGGGGCCGAGCTTGTCTGTCCGTACCCACCTTTGTGCCTGTCGGCTTCTCTGAGGCGCCTGAGCTCGCCGAGCGGAGGTCGGAAGGGCCTTGTCTGCTTGGTCTCTGTGCCCACAAGGGCCGGGCAGTGCCCTGGCATTCACTCAGCTTTTACTCCAACAGGAAGAGCTGGATCAGGCCTATGCAGAGGTGGACACCCAGAGACGGTCGCTGCACCATTATGAGGAGAGGCTCAAGCAGCACATGGACGCTCTGCAGGCGAAGAAACAGGAGCTGGCCCAGACGGAGAGGGAGCTTGAGGTACCTGCCCACCTGTGCGCCTCCGGACCGGGCGAGGGGAGAGGCGCCCCGCCTCGGAAGGACGGCTTTCTGTGTGTACAATAAGAAGCTGATGATTACAGAGGCAGTTCAGTTGGCTAGCCATACGCACTTATTGAGCGCCTTCTGTATGCCAGGCACTGTGCTAAGCTCTGGGGCTACAAATGCAAGTAAAAAGACAGTCCTTCCCCATGCTGGGCAGGGGCCTGAGGGAGACAGAAGCCCAGAAAGGCCCCCACGACATGTGAGGGGCAGGCAAACCCAGCTGTGGCCAAGAAACAGTCATCCAGAAAAAGAGTTTTTAATTCCCTGCTTTACTTCAGCCCTCTTGTTTTCCTGATGGGCAAACTGAGCGCTGAGAGGCTTAATTAGCTCAGGCTCACACAGGTAGCCGGGCAGAGGCAAGGGGAGGAGACGGAGGAGCGACCCCGGTGGAGGGGCAGGGGGGGTTGGCATCAGGCAGTAGGCGGAGAGCCGAGGAGGGCCTGGCTGTGTGAGCCCCAGGTTCGGGAGGCTCCCATGAGACAAGGGAGAGCATGTGCTCTGCAGGCCTTCCCGGCTGCCTCAGTGGGCCGTTAACATTGGGACAGCTTGGTGGTTCTGTGCCGGAGGAGAGCGGTGTGGATTCATGGTAGCGTTTTTAAATGAGGAGTCGCGGAGGGGATGCTTTTTCCAAAGATTATTTTTTTTATCAACTGCTTTTTACATTACCTCTCTTTCCCCAAGTACCTTTCCCTCCCCTTCCTAGAGCCATCCCTTAACAGCCACGGATAAAGCGAGAGGGGAGGGCACAGGGGGCCCATGCCAAGGCGTCTTTCCGGTGATCACACGCGGTCGTTGGGATGTCACGGCACTCTGGTGTTCACTGGACTCCTCGTCCAGAGTCCCCGGCCCCTGCCTGACGTTTCTGCCTCCATCACAGTCACTGCTGGGTCGGCACAGGCAATGGAGTTGTTTTGTCTCCTAAGGCCTTGTTTACATCAACAGGATTCGGGGAAAAGTTTTTAAGTCTGTTACTGAGCAAAACTGCACTTTAATTGCTTTAGGAGAAAACTGCTCTGGCCAAAAAGATCTGCCCCGAGCGAATGGAAGTGAAGAAAACTGCCTCCGTTCTTGACAGAGAAATTACCCGGCTGAGGCACAAGATCCAGACGGAAAGCGACAGTCATGGGGACAGGGAGGAAATCATCAGGTAACCGAGCGCCACCTTCGTCACAGCTCATGCTGTGGTTCCTTCTTTCTCACGCTCAGGTCTGGCCACAGCAGCACCCTTGGGCTGTCACAGGTCTCGTTTCCCAGGTGGCCCTTTGCCTGTCTCCTTGACATTCCTGAGGGGTCCCACAGGCAGCTCTCTCCCGCCTCCTCAGCTCTCTTTTCTTTTTTTCGTTTTTTCTTTATTTTTTTTTTCAATTTTTGGTGGGGCAGTCAGGGTTAAGTGACTTGCCCAGGGTAGGGTCATACAGCTAATAAGTGTCGAGTGTCTCAGGCCGGATTTGAACTTGGGTCCTCCTGACTCCAGGGCTGGAGCTCTATCCACTGCTCTATCTAGCTGCCCCTGGGGTTGCCTCCGAGCAGGTGGCTGGGATTTTTTCCTTTCTATGAAAATTGATTTCCTTCCTAGGGTTTGTGAATTCTTTCTTCAGTGGCAGGGAAAGCTGTTTGGGATTGGCCTTGTTATGTTCACGTAATATCTTCTTGATTTGGATCAAAGTCTTGACCAGGATGCCGTGGCCCCAATCTGTTCTTTTAAACGGGATTCGATTTTACTGAAACGGGTTGTGTTGGAAAAATGACCCAGCATTTTGATGACTGGCCTATTAGACTCTAAATGAGAAATATCTTCCTAGGGAAACACTTGCTAGTGTTAGGGAGATCATTACCTCCTAAGGGAATTTTCTAAATAGCTCTAATTATTAGAAAGTTTTCCCTTATACTTGGAGAATATTGATTTCTTTGTAATTTCCTCCCAGGCCTAGGTCTGTTTTGTCATCAGTATTTGAAGACAGCCGTCCTTAGGTCTGTCCGTCCCCTCCTCCTCCTTCCCGTACAGCTTTCTCCCAGCTAGATAGCCTATGTTCTCTTCACCATCCTCGTTGGCCTCCTTTCCCTCATCCTTCGAGGCACCCCAGTAAAGAGTGCTGCCCCCGGAGGCCGCCCCTCGAAGAGCACCGCTGTGGTGGCCGCCCCTTTGAAGAGTGAAGAGCGTCCTTGGGGTGGCTGCCCTGTCGAAGAGCACAGTGTGCCATAGTGGTGGCCAGCCCCCCCGTCACGAGCATTGCTACCTTGGTGGCCGCCAGCCTCTGGCGTGCTCTCTTGGGCTTGCAGGGAGAGCCGGTGATGGCATCCCCTCCTAGAGCAGCAATGTTCCAGGCCTGTTCATTCCTACCGAGCTCGTCGGCTCCATGAAAGCCTCTCACTGTGGCATGGGGGCGTCTCGGTTTATACCATGACCTCTCTCTGTGCTCAGTTGTCTCCTCTTGGCTTCAGCCGTTCCTTCTGACCTGTCGGGGCCCTGCCCACCGGCTTCCACCCCAGCTTTGTCAGTGAATGGGCTTTGTAACAAATGTGTGGGCCACTGGGTCACAACTGACCGCCGGCACTCTCCTGAGCTGCCGTCGTCCGGCCAGCTTGAGCCTTTGTCCTGAGGCTTCACTGTGACCTGCACAAGAAGATGTCCGGTTTCCATGGGTCTCATTTTGTGGGCTCTGTGTCTCTGGTCAGCTCCTGGGGACTCTGCTTGCACTCCAGGCCACTGGATGCCCAGCCGTCTGCTGGCGGCCCTTGGCTGGCCTCTCCTCAAATGGACCAGTTGGCCTGATTGGGCGTGAAACGCTAGGCTCGAGGCTCTAATCAGGAATCCAGGGGCTGCAGCAGAGTGGAGCCAGGGTGAGGGCTGGGCGCGACCTGAAGGAGGTGACGCGGGACACTGCTCCCTCTTGTTTCCTGTCTGCCTTGGCAGAAAGGTCAGTCCCATGTCCAGAAACAGGAGTGCCTTTGCAGCCTCCAGGTTGGCGGGGGAGAAGACTGATTCTGCCTCGGAGAGGTGACCGAGACAGACAGGGAAAGACAGAGAGGCCCTGTCTACGCAAAGAGCGATTGCAGCCCAGGAGACCTCAGAATTTTCATGTCTGTGTGCGATGGCGTACGATGACCCCGTGAGAAATGACGGAGCAGGTGGAATCAGAGAGAGCCAAGCAGAACCGAGGGCACAGTTTGTCCTGTGCCCACACTCGTGCCAAGGACGCGAGGGCTCCGTGGACAGCCCGGTGACGGTCAGTGGAAAGCAACAGAAAGATAGCCTGTGAGGGAGGTCCTCAGAGACACCGCCAGCTCCTTCTGTTCTTTGTTCCTGAAACGTTCATTCCTATTGGCTGATGCTCACCTTCATCTTTAAGTGATTCTTCAGTTTGTCTCAGGCGCTTGGTGGTAGTGAGTGCGGGCGGGGAGGAGGCCGTGCCTGGTGGGATCCGGCGTGGACCTTGGCAGCCCCTGTGCCGAGCCCAGCTCCGGGACGGCCCCTGGAGGCCTCTTGCCCCTGCCCTGGGGCACCCTGAAGGCGCAGACGCTCCTCACTCAGAATTCACTGTCTGTCCATTCCCCAGGCAGTACAAGGAGGCCAAAGAGACCTACCAGGACCTCGACGGCAAAGTCAAGAGCTTGAAAAAGTTCATTAAGTTACTGAATGAAATCATGACCCAGAGATACAAGACCTACCAGCAGTTCCGAAGGTGAGCGGCCCCCGTGCCTCACCGCACACGCGTCCCCGTGCCTCACCGCGCCTGCCTCCTTGCGCACGCCACCCTCCTTGGCTTACAAAGCCCTGGGTGTGCATGTTTGTGTATGGTCTCGTGGGAGTCATTGCTGCACACCTTTGAGGTAAGGACTCCCATTTTACAGGTGAGGAAACTGAAGCACCCAGAGGCCAAGGGATTTGTTCTTGGTCAGGAGTTAATGGGGAAGCTTTGAAGCCAAGGCAGCAAAAAGTCAGGAGAGAAAGCCAGCCTGACAAAGGAGACCTCCTACAATAATTAAATTTAGGGAATTTGAGATCCTCTGGTCCATCCCTTCTGCCCTGTCCCTGAGAAATGTCTCTCAAGCCTTCACTTCAGTACTTGGTCCATGCTTTGGGGGGCAGGGAGGACACTCCGGGATAAATGCCCAGGTTCCCCCTTGAGTTTATAAACATCTACTGCCTAGAGAGAAAATGGGCGGTCCCAAGAGCCGGCACTCAACACAGACATGCAGGGCCCAGACCAGCCCCTTGAAGCACCACGGGGCACAGGGCTGGTCACCAAACAGGGATCTGAAGGGATGGGGGCTGCAGCAGAATGACCACTCCTGAGGGGCCGCACCTGCTGCACTCAGCCCAGGGAATGGGCCCCAGAGGGAGGGGGAGGGCCCCCGGAGAGACTGAGAACAGAAAAGACCCTTCTCCCCTTTGCCTGGGGGAAATGTCCTCCTCTGAGCTCTGGGGTTTGTGGTGGCGTGTCAGCAATTCAGGTGGAACCCAGAGTCCGTGAAATGCTCCCACCTCCACCTTGTTCAGTTAATAAGACTTTGTAATGTTCCCTAGTAAAATCTCAAATGAAAATGAAAAACTAAAAATCGTCAGCTGAAGTCTTCTTGTGGCCCCTTGTGGCCTGGGTTCTCCAAGGCTGTGCCCTAGAACAGAGAGTCCCCGGGGCCAAATCTGAGGGTCCGGCCTGTGGCTTGGAGAAGGCAGCCCATGGCATCTCTTGTGTGAACGGTGGTTTCTTCCCTTCAGGTGTCTTACCTTGCGGTGCAAACTGTATTTTGACAACCTGCTCTCCCAGCGGGCCTACTCTGGCAAGATGCTCTTTGACCACAAGAATGAGACCCTGGCCATCACAGTAAGTGGTGTTGGGGCCGGCGACCTCTGGGGACACGGGGCCCGAGACCTTCCCTGGGGGCAATTCCTGGCCCCCTTGCCCAGGTGCTTGCTGCCTATAAAGCCGGTTGGCGCTGTCCTTTGGAAGTCCCTGATTTGATGGGACTGTAGCGCCGGGAAAATGGAATCTTCAGTTGGGATGTAGAGGGCGCACAGACAAAACCTGGGCCCTCCTCTGGCGGTGCCATTGGCCCTGCTGTTGAAGCCTGCGTGCCTGGCTCCCCTCGGCCCAGACGGAAAAGGGCCACCGCCTCCAGGGAGAACCAGGGTCTGCAGGAAGGAGATGCGTTCACCTGACAGTGCCCATTTGAGTCTTAGGAAAATCCCCTGACCTGGGCAGGACGGTTGTAATCCCCGTCTTATACATCAGCAAAGTGGGTGATTTGTCCATCGGGAGTCAGGACGAGCTGGGTCCACATCCGGCCCTCTAGCTCTGTGACTCTGGCCAGGTCACCTAACCTCCATCTGCCAAATGGGTGCAGTAAAGGCGCCTCACTGCCAGGATGGCTGTGGAGCTCCAGGGAGAGCACAGTTGTAGACTGCTTAGCACAGAGCCTGGCCCTCAGCATGCGCTTCATAAATGGGCGCTGTTATCATTCTTCTCCTCCTCCTCATGACTTCTTCACCCATCGGAGCCTGGAGTGCCAGCACAGGGCAGCCATCCCCCACGGGCTCACAGAGACCCTGGCGGTGCCCAGAATTCTGGGTGCATCAGCTGTAAGACTTGTGGAGATCGCTCGGGGTGATGTGCTTTTGCTTTGATTTCTTCTGCACTTCATGGCAGCTGCACAGGGGAGAAATACCTCCCTCTCTGTCCACTGGGGAAAGGGTCCGGGCTAGAGTCCTGGTGCGGGAGAGGGCTCTGCCCCGAGGAAGCCTGAAGGGTGGCCCAGCCTTGCTCTAGGGTGCGCTGCTCTTTAGCCGCTGGACGTCCCTCTGGACTTGGGCCCCTGGCTTCAATTCCATGACTTCCGTGTTCCCTGGAGCTGATGCTGGTTTCGTAGGACCCCACCCAGGCCTCTCTTTCGGTAGTGGAAGGAGCCCGGACGTCCACGGCCCCAGCAGTGATCGCCACAGGCAGGCCAGGGCCCTCTCTGAGACTCCTGCCGGCCTTGGCGTGTTCACTCGTTCTTTGGGCTCTGAGGGCAGAGGGGGACCAAGCCGTGAGGAGCCGTGACACACGTCAGCACATCCCGAGGGCGGAAGGTGGCCGCTCGCAGCGCGTCTGGGAGGTTATGGCCAGCGGCGTCGCGCCTGTCTCCTGCATTCAGTAGCCTTTCCCTCCTTTCTCGATTCTCCCCAAGGTCCAGCCTGGAGAGGGGAGCCAAGCTGCTTTCAGCGACATGCGATCGTTGTCTGGAGGGGAGCGCTCGTTTTCCACCGTTTGCTTCATCCTTTCCTTGTGGTCCATCGCAGAGTCTCCCTTCCGCTGCCTGGACGAGTTCGACGTCTACATGGTATTGCCCAGTGTCGCGTCCCCTGATTTGTGCTTTACTTTGGGCACGAGCCGAGAGAGTGGGTGGGGACAGTCACGGAGTCTGCTTCCCAGGTGACCGCTGGAAAGGAAAACAAGTCCAGCAGAGTTTTGGCTTGGTTTGTTTGTTTGAAGTCCGTCTGGTTATTTATATTATTTATAGTCAGACTTTGAAGAGGACAGAATTTGAAGTGGCAGTTTCTATGAGCCCACTTTCTTGTCACTTGACATTTATGATTTCAAAGACTCTACCCCCTGCTCTCGTTGATTGAGTTTGAAAGATAGTGGATGGCGGATGAGGGCGCCATCTTGTGTTGCTCCCCTTTCCCTACGTTCAGGAACTGTCCTCGAGTGTGCTGGGCCCTTTCCGTGCCAGGCCAGGACTCATGTGTTTGCTCAGCCTGTAGTGCAGGAAAAAAGAACATTGAATTGGGAGCAGGGTATAGTTTGGCCTTTTTTTTTTTTTTTTTTTTTTTGGAGCCTTGCTTGAGAGAAGTTTGAGAGGTTAATCGATTAAGACTGACTCATTGGATGGCTGCATAATTTATTGTGATTGTTAATTTATTTCCAGCTTGTAAATGTTAGGGGCAGACTGAGCCTCGGTGAAAGCTCCTTTGAGTGTTGCCTGAAGCTTTGGGCACGGTGACCACTTAACCTTCATTTCAGATGCTCTTTATCGGGAGGCTTGTGGTAGTGAGGAAGTGTAGGAAGGGGAAGGGTTGTTCTGGGCCCTGGGCCTGATGTTCGGCACTCTAGATCTCCCTGGTTCTCACCTCTTCAGGACATGGTCAACAGAAGAATCGCCATGGACATGATCCTCAAGATGGCCGTTTCCCAATGCTACCGCCAGTTCATCCTGCTCACCCCACAGAACATGAGGTAACGCACCTTTCTGGGGCCTCTGCCTGGAGGCGTTTTCATGGCGCCCTTTCTGGGATGGTCGGAGGTGGCCTTGCTTTTATGTATATTGGGCAGCTGGTGACCCAGGGCTCTGGGCCTGACCACACTGTGGGGCCCAGAACGCACTGTTGGCAGGCCGCCTCCTTGTGCCCCATAATGGCCACACAGGGGAGTCCCCGTCTGCTGGGGAGGCCCACGAGGAACATTGTTAGCTCTGGGGGCCCGCCTCCTCCTTGGCTTGGCGCTCCTGCCATCCCTCCCTCTTGGCCTTTGAGGGACAAGGCCTGGGGCTGGCGCTCCCCCGTCTGCCTGGTCTGGCTTCTGGCCAAGTCACACCGCACTGTTCATGCTTGGTCCCGGGGATATCTGGCCTGGGAGTAATGGTTTGTTCTGTGTGTTTCTAGCTCTCTTCCCTCAAGTAGACTGATTAGAATACTCCGAATGCGAGACCCAGAGAGAGGCCAGAAAGGTCAGAGAGCCCTGCCTTTCCGGCCGGCCAACAGAAACCAGGAGGAAGAATGAATCTGATGTCTCGCCAGCGTGATCATTGTTGTCTTCTCAAAGTGTCTGCGGTGTCGCGTGTGAAGCTGTACTACCTTAAAGAAGAATATTTGAGAATTTAAAATGGTTCAGAAATTAGAGAAGCCTCATTGTTCCCCCCGTAGTAGAATGTGTGTCTCAGCCTTGATATGTATATAAAGAGAACCAGAATTCCATTTCCTCCAGTGTGTGGCTTTGAGAAAATGCAGTGTTCTAGACCATCCCCCTCTCTCTTAGGAACGTCGTGTAGACGTGCCTGCATGTATGTTTGCTTTGGATTTATGTTCACTTTGATTTTGCATATTTCCAATAAATGTTTCAGAGTACCCATTGTTTCCACTGATTCCCTTTCACCAACATGTTGCATTCCAAAGTTAGGTGTAGAAAAATTTGTTAAGGGAATGTTTCTCTGTACACTTAGAGACTGGCCCTAAAGACAGGAGTAGTCACCTGCGTCCCTTGCCCTAGAGAAGCCCCGGGCTAGCGCTGACCGGCTCACCTCCCCCTTCCTCCTAGCAGTGGACAGGACACACTAGGATGGCTAGAGGAGTGAGGCAGGAAGGCCCGTTGATAGGTGGCTGCAGGCATGTGGGTGGGGGTGATGGCCAGGTCACCTACATTGCTGGCCTTCAGGAAGCCCAGCTAACTTGAAATGTTGTTCTGCTATGCCACATTCATTTTTTCCTTTTAAAAATGATTTATTTTTAGCATTCTTTTCTTTTTAAATTTTGAGTTCCAGATGCCCTCCCTCACCCCCTACCCCACTCACTGAGAGGGCAAACAGTATGATCTCAGTAATATGTATGTGAAATTGTGTAAAACATTTCCATGTTAGCCATAGTGTGAAACAGAGAAGGGAAAGTTACACAGCAGCTTGCACACCCAGTTCATCAGTTCTCCCTGGAGGTGGATGGCATTTTCTCATCACAAGGCTTTTAGAATTGTCACGTCATTGTACTGATCAGAATAGTCACGTCTTTCACAGTTGACCACCGTTACACCATTGCTGTTACTGTGCCCGGTGACCTTCACTTGCATCACTTCACATAGGACTTGCCATTATTTTTTCTGAAAACCACCCCTGCCTCGTCATTTCCCGCAGCACGATAGTGTCCCATTCCATTCATACACCCCGACTCGTTCAGCCATTCCCCAATTGATAGGCATCCTCTCAGTTTCCAGTTCTTTTTCACCACAGGAAGAGCTACTATGAATATTTCTGTACGTGTGGGTCCTTTTCCCATCTTTCTGATCTCTCTGGGATACAGCCCTAGAAGTGCTATTGCTGGGTCAAAGGGTATGCCCAGTTTTGTAGCCCTCTGGGCATAGTTCCAAACTGCTCTCCAGAATGGTTGGACTGCTTCACTTCTATTCCAGCAGTTCTTTAGCGTACCTACTTTTCCCCCATCCTCTCTGGCTTTTGCCATTTCTTATAGGTGTGAGGGGATGCCTCAGATTTGTTTTAATTTGCCTTTCTCTAATTAGTAGTGATTTGGAACATTTTTTCATGACTATAAATAATTTTGATTTTTTCTGAAAACTCTTTGTTCTTAGGAGTTACAGGCATCATCTTCCCTTGTAGGATAGAAACACTTGTCACCTCATTGAATCCCTCCTGATGTTTACCTTTTTATGCTTCTCTTGAGTCTTGTATTTCAAAGTCAAATTTTCTATTCAGCTCTGGTCTTTTCGTTGGGATCATTTGAAAGTCCTCTGTTGCGTGAAATACCCAGTTTTTTCGCCTGAAGGATTATACTCAGTTTTGCTGGGTAGGTGATTCTTGGTTGTAACCCTAGCATTTCATGTTGGAAGACCTCATTAATATTTAGCTGTAATCAAATAAGGCCGCATTCAAAAAACTTCAATTAGATAACACTTAAAAATGAGTGTTATTTTGTAAAAATCTAACGACTGTGTACTCCATAATTTCAGAAAATGAAAATTTCATTTTGAAGTTGATTAACCTTTTAATGACTTTGTTGTGTCTGCTTTATGTTGGAAAGCTTTTGAATATTTGGTTGCAGCATGGAGGTCGCACGTTCAGTTGGTCCTCTAGATAGGTGTCAGTCATTTGTGACCTTGAGGGCATTTTGATTTGGGTTAGGTGGGAGAATGTAGATTCACAGCCAGAAGTGCTTATAAAGCAGGAAAGCATTTTGGGCCATGTTGCTGAAGGCGTGGGTATTCCACTGCATTTTTCCGTATTTCAATTGAATCTTTCTTAGCATCGAACAATGACTTTACAATGTCATCTACTGAGATCTCAATCAATTCCGTTGGTAGTTCTTTAGATGCTTTGGCGATATCAACTAGGTGAGGCTGAAATGCTCATTTGAGTGTGATGTCATGCTTCTCAAAGTTAGGGAACCTTTCGTTGTATTCTCCAATTAGTAGGTCTATGACAGGTGCATATTCTTCAAATGATTCCCATATGTTCTCCTGCTCATCAGTGACCTTCACTAACTGGGGAAAATGTTCAACCGAAATTTCATTTTGAAAGAGTTAGCTTTTTTTGAAATGCTTGGATTTTTTGCCACGTATCATATATAGTTTTACCTTGCAAAGAAATGTTCAAGTCATTTTGATTGACTTATCACACAGAAATGCAGTCTTCCCATAGGAACCTTTTTTCAATAATTAGCATTGCTGATTGTTTCATAAAATTTAATTCTGTTCTCTCAGATAAAATTTAGAATGGAAACTCATTGAGGGCAGGGACTGTCTTTCTCTTTACTTGTTCAGAGGTGTGCTGGAGCCAGCCAGGGTTAGCATTTCAGCGTGAGCATTTGCACACCAGAATTCTGCCAAGATTGGGCTTGATTTATTGCTTTGCTTATCACCTCGACTTAAGGAAGGAAATGATAATAATGCAGATTAACTCTGTCCTGTTTGTTTTCTGGAGAACTGGTTGTTAAACCCCCATACCCCTGTTGTGTTTGTGTTCTCAGCACCTAGCACATGCTTTCTGACCGACTGTCCTGAGAGGGCTCCCCCTTCTGGACAATGATGACTTGAGCTCGTCCCTCCTTGATGAACATCGTCCCACCGGGACAAAGCCTCCCAACCCCAGTGATTCTGAACCCCGAGCTGTCACCTGCTCCCTTTACCACTGTCCCTGCCCCAACTTCCCGCTTCCACCGCGCTCTCTGGAATGCTTGGTGTGTAGGTAACACTTACTTCCCTTCTGCTCTCCTTCCGTCTTCTGGCTGTCCCTTCGTGACCCCGCTTCTTGGCCTCCTCCAGCGCTGGCTGCACTAGTCGAGGTGGACCAGAAGGTGGGATACTCTGCTCCCCTCCAACACGGTCCCTCCTGTGAAGGCCGTCCCACAGAGCTGCCGCTCAGGATTCCGGTAGCTGGTGTTTGGACTCCAGGACGTTCTCCTTCCTTCTTCCGTCAGCTCATTGCCTGGCTCCCAGGCCTTCCTTCCCCAATTCCTGCCCTCATACTAGGGGACTTCAGCGCACATGTGGACTCTTCCTCGACTTACTCATGCCCTCCTCCTCCATCCCCCTCAGCCGCACACACAGTCGTACCCTTTATCTGGCCACCATCCACCTCCACGTTTATGCGGAATTGCGTTTGCTGTCACAATCTCTTTTCAGTCCCCCTTGGCCACTGCTTTCTGTAACCAGACCGTTGTTCGTCTTCGCCGTGACATCCCCCCTCTCTGCCTCTCAGTTCTCTCCTAGGCTTTCTCCCTGTACGCCCTCTTCCCTTGCTCCTCCTGACCCTTTGGTGACTCCACTCTACCCTGCCCTCCTCTTCAGTCCCTGTCCCAGTTATCCTATAGCCGACAGAGCTCTTCCAAGCCTTACCTTACCCAAGGGTCACTCCAACATCTGCCTCTTGCTCTTCTGATACACGTGCTACCCAACAAAGATGGAGAAAATCCAGAAACTGTTCTGACGGGGTCCACATGACCTCAACTGGAAGGCAATCTTTTTTCCATTTCAATAAACGTTTATTAAGCACCTACTACATGCCAGGAGGCAGCTAGGTGAGTCATTGGATAGAACACTGGGCCTGGAGTCAGGAAGACTTGAGTTCAGCTCTGGCCTCAGATACTTACTAGCTGTGTGACCATGGGCAAGTCACTTCACCCTGTTTGCCTCAGTTTCCTCATCTGCAAAATGAGCTGGAGAAGGAGATGATGGCAAACTGCGCCAGTGTCTTTGCCAAGAAAACCCCATGGACAGTCTGGTCCCTGAGGTCACAACTGACTGAACAGCGACGGATGCTGTGCCAGGCACTGTGCTCACTGCTTTCCTAACCAATTCACCATCCCACTTGTCCCAGTGGCTTTTTCAGACCTTCATCCCTCCTCAAGCCTTCCAGGGCTCCCCTTTCAGCTAAGAGCCTTGGTTCCCCCTTGCCCCTTCATCCTCATCTGCCATCACTCGGGGGCCTCCGGCCGCCATCTCCTCCATGGCCCTGCTTCGCAGTGAGGTGGCCCTTCCGCTTGCCAAGGCGAGCCCCTCCACATGCCCGTGTGAGCCCGGTCCATTCTCTTTCCCAGCAGATTGCCTCCCTGCCATCCCCACTCTGTCTCATCTTCAGTCTCTCCTGTCTCCTGGCTGCTTCTCTGCTGCATGCAAACACGCCCATGCGTCCCTATCCTCAAAAAGCCCCCAAACCCTTCATTTGCTCCGTCCCCAAGAGATACTGTTGTAGAGCTCCTTTCTTTTGTGGCCAAATTCCTTGAGAAAATTATCTCCAATCGGTTCCTCTGCGTCCTTTCCTCAAAACTCCCTTCTCGACTCTGGCTTCTGACCTCCTCTTTCACTGACCATGCTCTCTCCAGAGTTACCAGTGACCTCACATCGAGTGGCCTTTCCTCAATCCTCATTGTCCTTGACTTCTTCTCTGCAGCCTTTGGTCACTCTCTGTCTACCCCTCAAAATGACCCAGTATTTCCTCTCTGGAGTTGGCATTTTCTTATCATCTGTGTACCTGTTGTGTCCTCCTCTGAGTGGAAGCTTCTTGAGGGCAGCAACGATGGGGCGAGCTTTGCCCAGTGCCAGGCACTCAGGGGCAGAACTGTGATTTCGTAATCTAGTGAACTCCCAGAATGGGAACGCCCCCCCCTACCATGTAGGTCTGCATGTTCTGTGTCGCTTAACAGTCTTCAGAGCTGACCCGCAGCACTAAACGGGGAAGTGATGTGTCTACGGTCACAGGCCCAGTCTGTGCCAGAGGCAGGGCTCGGTCCCAGGGCTTCCTAGTGCCAAGCCCTGCTCTCTACCCACTATGCCACTCTCCCTCTCGCTCGACACATAGGAGGCACTGCATTTCTGTCAGCTGAGATGTATGCATCCATCTATATGTGTGTGACTATTACTGTGGCCCAGAGGAAACTGACCCTTTTGGGTGGAAGAGGTTTGAGGGACTTCTTGAAAACCTTTGCGTGCGTGAGGGTGATGGCCCCGTCCTCTGTGGTCAGATATGGCGACGCTTAGTGACCCGACAGGGAAGGCCCGAAAATAAGAATTAGGGGAAAAGTCAAATATTATAAATTTATTTGGGACATATATTGCAACCTTTTTTGGAAACTTCTGAAAACCAAGCAGAAATCCATACACTTCGAATAACTTTTTTTTTTAAACTTCGAATAAATAATTAGACTTTTGTGTGTTTGTGTGTAGATAGATAGATAGACAGATAGATGTCTTAATTAAGGGAGCATTTGAGCAGGGGGTTTGTTACATGTGATACTGCATTCCTCGCACATAGGTCTTCTGGGTGGAAAAGATGCAGATGAGACCAGGTGGAAGGCGGCCCTGACTAAGAGGCATGCATGCAGATGAGACACATTGACATTCACTGATAGCACAGCTCGGAGAGGGGGCTGGGCTCCCCCCAGTGAGCGAGAGAGTGGAGGAAGCTGGGGACGGGCTGACAGCTGTCTGTCTGTCTGTCTGTCCGGCAGCAGGGACGGTGACACAGCTTAGATCAAACAGTTAGTTACAGAATCAGGGGATTCGTCACTGACACGGAGGGATGAGCATGAGGGGTGGAGGCATGGAATGACATTGTATACATCACATGGGCGCAGTTTGGGTCCTCTGTTTTTTTTTCTTTTTATAATATAGAGACTTTTAAAATTCTTTAGCAAATAAAATTCTCATGCACACAAGTGTTTCAAACACAGAAAGCAAATCCATTGATACAGGTAATCCAAGCAATGTTTGTGTGTGCGTGTGTGCGCATGCGCGTATATGCGCGCACGCATGTGTGTCGGTGTGTGTGTGTGTCTGTCTGTGTGGGTGTGTCTGTCGCTGCAGACTGACATGGGCAAGCCCTGGCCCGCCGGCCTCACTTCTGAATGTCACACTGCAGCAGTAACACGATGGAAGGGTCACTCTTGGCCGCCTCTTTGAACTCATCCAGCGTGATCTGGTCATCCTTATTCTTGTCCATCTTGCTGAAGATCTTGTCCACTCGCTGCTCCGGCGTCAGCCCATCCTCGTTCATCTTCATCATGATGACGGTGCCCACCATCTTGTAGATCGCCTGGGAGAGGGAGGGAGGAAGGCCAGAAGGAAAAAGGTCAACCTGGCTTGGCTCCACTGGGGCAGCCAGAGGGCTCAGTGAAGGCGGGGCCGGCCTAGGAGCCAGGGGTCCTGGCCTGACCGAATGACCCTGGATAAGCCCGCGGCAAGAATCGAGACTGTAAACTGCAGAGAACGGAGTTCTCTCCTGGGGGTCCCCACCTCTCTAGCTGGAGCTCCCTTCCTCCCCCTCCTCTCCCTCTTCCTCCTCAGCACCCTCTTCCTCCAGGGCTCAGCTGGGGGCTGCCTCCATTGTGGAGCTCACCCAGATTCCCCCCACGGCTGGGCTCTCACCATTCCAAAGTACTCCGTCTGGATCGCTTGGCAGCCTACCTTGGTTCACCCTCATTCGTGTACAGGTGAGTCTCTCCTAGCAGACTAGTAGTGATAGTGGTGATGATGGTGATAACTAGCCTTTATAGAGCAACGTTTACAAAGCACTTCACGTCTCATTGGGTCCTTCTAACAACCCAAGGAAGCAGGTGCTATTAGTATCCCCATTTTACAGTTGAGGAAACTAAGGCAGACCTGCCCAGGATCACACAGCAGGTGTCTGAATTCAAGTCTCCCCGGCGCCTAGCCCAATCTCCTCTCACACCAGATGGCTTCTCAAGCCTGGCAGCCCCCGAAGGCAGCCACTGTGGGTGCACACGGCCCTGCGTGTAGTAGTAACAACGATTCCCAACTCCACAGACTTTCGCAGTTCTGTCCCAGAATCTCTGAGACGTCAAGAGCTCAAAGGTTTCTGACAACTTCCCAGGTGAGGAAAGGGAGGCTCACGAGCTTAAGGAACTTGGCCCAGGTCCCACATCTAGCAAGTGTCTGAGGTAGGATTCGAACCCAGTTCTCCCACCTCCAAGCCCACTCCATCTGTCAGGTGACATTATCTAGCTGCAAGAACAGGAGGCATAGGGGCTCTGACCTGCTCTGTCTCTGACTCGGGCTGGTTCCACCTTCTTGGGCAGCATGGTGGCCCCCACCCTATTAATGCTGAACTTAGCTTGACAGCTGATGGGCGTCACCCACGGCAGCTCAGCAGCCCCCGTAGCTGGGATCACAAGTATCAAAGCCTGCCTCAGACACGTACCAGCTACATGACCCTGGCCAAGTCCCTCCACCTCAGGCTGCCTTGGTCTCCTCCTCTGTAAAATGGGACTGGACTCCAGACCTATGAGGAGGAGAGGAAGGGTCTCCTTAACATTGGCCTCACCTCGATGATCTCCAGCATCTCCACCCTGGTGATCTTGCCGTCACCGTCCAGGTCATACATGTTGAAAGCCCAGTTCAGCTTCTGCTCGAAGCTGCCCCTGGAGGTGATGGAGAGGGCACAGATGAACTCTCGGAAGTCGATGGTGCCATCCCCATTCTTGTCGAAGGTTCGGAAGGCGTGCTGGGCGAACTTGGAAGCGTCTCCATAGGGGAAAAACTACGAGGGACGACAGAAAGATAGAGTCAGGAGAGAAGGGGAGGGAAGGCTCCTGGGGACGTTCCACAGTTGAGTGAAAAGCCCAGCTGGAGAGAGGCAGAGGCGATGGCCAGGGTGGGCGGCAAATGTCACAGCCCATGCTACCGGCATCCTCCACCACAGGGGCTCTTAGCCTGGGTCTGTAAACTTCAATGGGAAACATGTACGTTCTTATTCCAATACAACTGGTTTCCTTTGTAATCCCCTGTATTTTGTTATGTGCATTTAAAAAATTAGAAACCTTTAAAAGACTGACTTTTCTCACCCTCTTCCCAGGATCCCTCCGAGAGATGTTTGCCCCAAATAATCTCTTTGGCTTCTGCTCCTGCCCAGAACCACCAGCCAGGCTGGAATGAGCACAATGGACGGCGCCCCCCCTGGGGTGAGCCCCTGGACCTCTGAGAAGGGTCCTTGGGCTTCGCCAGATCGCCAAATGGGTCCGTGGCCCCGAGAATGTGAAGCATCAAACCCCTCCTCCGATGCAGCCTAGGAAGGACGAAGCAGAGCCCTTCCAGTGAGTCCCCTGGGTTGGATTTCGGTGCCTCGGGTTCTTTTCCCCTATTATTCATTCATTCATTCATTCACCATTAATTCCCCCGTGTGCAAAATTGTGCTGGCGCTGGAGGAGACACAGAGTCCAGGTCAGACCCCTGCCCTGCCCTCATGGTTTGGTGGGAAGGGGGCCTGAGGCACAGAGACTGCAAATCAGACCACGGGGACGAGGGAGAGCGCCAAGTACTCTGAGATCAGATTAAAGCCAACATTTCCGGGAAGAAGAGAGAAAATGGGATGAGGGCATCCAGGGCAGGCTTCTTGGAGATGGAGGCATTGGTGCCAAGCCTGGAAGGTCAGGTCAGGGGCCAGCACTCCAGCAACCCGGCCTGTGATTTCAGGTAAAGGTTAGATCACCAAGGCAACTGACCACGCCACTCAGTGCCCTGGACCCGTTCAGAGAGGTAACCGTCCATTGCCAAGAGTCAGGGTAACGTCTGCCTCATGTGGCCTGGACTTCTCCTCCTCATCTGCCATTTACCTTCCCCTGCCCCCTTTTCCAGCGCTGCTTCCTAAGTGGTATTCCCTACTAGAATGTCAGCTCCCTGAGGGCAGGGACCATCTTGTTCCTTGGGTCTGTGTCCCCAGCACCTAGTACACTGCCTGGCACAGAGTGAGTGCTACCCACCTGTCCATCCATCCATCCATCCATCTCTCCCTCATCTTTCTCTATCATCTCACTTTAGCTGTCCATCTCTCTTTCTCTCTCTCTCTCACATCAGCTTCCATGGAATCATTTCCGATCTCTGTGCATATGGCTAAGTCACCATCTCTGACCACCCACACCAATGGGACACTTCAAGCTGGATGTCTCATGGGCAGCTCAAAGTCATCCTGCCCCAAGCAGACCTCATTGCCTTTCTCCCCAAAGTCACCCCCTCCCACTTCGTGACTTCCTTATTACCATTGAAATCATTGCCTTCCTCCTAGGGACCCAGGTGTGCCGGCCACAGAGGCATTCTTGACTCCTCCCTCCCTCTCACCTCCCATATCCCAGCAGTTGCCAACCCTGCTGACTCTCCCTCCTCAACCCCTCTCCTATCCGTCCCTTCCTCTCCACTCGCCCAGCTGTCACCGTCGTTAGGAACCACATCCCCTCTCCCCAGGACTACCTTGGTTGGTGTCTTTGTCCACATTTCTCCCCCTCGATCCGCCCTCTACTGTGGCACCAAAGTCATCCTCCTAAAGTACAAGTCCCTCGAGGTCGCTCTTCGGCTCTGGTTGCCAGAGATCTCGGGATTAAAATGCCCATTCCTCTATTTAGCATTTAAAGCCCTTTGCAAGGGGCTCGAGACCTTTCCAGGCGGACATGTTCTCTGCCCACCTTCGCTCTCCAGCCAAGCTGGCCTGCAGAGCCAGCCCCTCCTCCTCACTCCTCCAACCACTGACCCCGCGGCAGGGAATGGATCTGCCTGCCCCCTCCAGGGGAACGGGACGCCCCCTTCCTCCTCTGGGCCCGCAGCACCACTTCTTCAGGGGCCCTTCTGGACTGGCCCAATTCCATGCAGAACCGACAGCAACCTCCCCGAACAGAACAAAACAAACGTCTGCGGAATGATGCCATATCCCCAGAGAGAACGGAGGCTCCCTGAGGGCAGGAGGCTTCCTTTTGTCTTTGCATCATTGCCGACTGGCTGCCTAGACCTGCCGATTTCTAGCATTTTGGATTCAAGCTGGGGCCCTGCTATAGAGAAGGCCTTTGGACAAGTTACTGGGCTTTGCTGATCTCAAGATTCGTTGTCTGCAAAGGGAGGATGTGACCCCACAGCCCACCTCTAAGGGGTGTGGGGAGGAAATGTATTAGAAATGGGTGTCTATTCCAGTACTATTACTGGAAAGCAGGTGTGGGAAGGAGCTGCTGGGCTTGGGGCTGGGGACCTGGGTTCAAATTCAGCTCTATCACCTACCAACTTTATGACCCTGGGAAAGTCAGTTAAACTCTGAATCTCAGTTTCTCACCTGTAAAATGGGGGTGATGGCTGTAGTATGGACCTTGTAGGGTCACGAGGCTTGAAGAAAAGTCTGTCAAGTGATCTGAAAACCTTAAAACACTAATTAAAAACAAAAGTTGATTTCGTTGTTCTCTGAATTCACCAAATGGAAATCCCTTTGTGGGTCCGGCCCACTGGTCCTGGAGGGGTTCCCTCCTTGGTAACATGGCGAGGCTTGTAGGAGGGATGGGGCAGTGCACTGAGGATGCAAAAAGCCCTGGAGGGCATCAGACGACCAGGGTTCGAGGTTGTGAGCACCTTACTTGTAGGAGCTGGGCGTAGGTCTGGGACTCAGTTTCCTCCTTTGTTAGGCCCAGAAGGCCTCTCTCAGTCCCTTCCAGCTCTAAGCTGTGGGCTTGAGCCCCCGAATGAGCCATCTCAGGGTGGCTCCATGACCCCTGCCTGCCACCACCCAGGTTGAGGGCCAACAGGTCTCACCTGAGGACTGAGCAGTCAATAACAGGAGATCTGGAGAGCCCGTGTCTGCCTCCGCCTCTCGGGGAATTAGTCATTAATGGGCAGGAAGTAATTTGATTTTTCAATCCAAGCTGGTCTTAATTAGATTTGGAAAAAAATGGATTCACACGTGGTGGCCCCAGCCAGATGCCAGGCTGGGGCAGGAGCCAATTGCCGGCCTGTTCTTGATACCTGGAGAAGTCAGAGCCAGGAATTAAGGTCCTGCAGGGTGGAGGTGGGGGAGCTTTTCTTTTTTCTTTAGGCAGTCAAGAAATATTTATTAAGAGCCTACTGAGTGCCAGGCACTGTGCTAAGTGCTGGGACTTTGAAGAAAGACAAAAGACAGTCCCTGCCCTCGCGAGCTCCCAGTCCAATGCGGAAGGTAACACGCAAACAGATAAATGGGAGGAGAAGGCTTCTGCGATGTTGTCTGGGACCTGAAGGAGACCCAGGAGGAGGGAGCATTCCGGGCACGGGGCACAGCTCGAGGGAAGATCAGACGCAGAAAAGCCCTTCCTCCGCTTCCCCAGGGCCCTGTGCCTCCCGCAGGGTCAGTCAGAGGAAGCCTGGGAGGGCTGAGCAAATGTCAGGGCAGGCGGCTGGGGCTGGGCGCTGGCGGGCTTAGAGCACGGAACAGAGGACTGCAGGTCAGGGAAGGACCTCAGAACCCAGAGAGGCAGAGCTCAACAGAGAACATGGAGAGTGGAAAGGCCTTAGAATCCGGGTCAGAGAATGTTAGAGCGGGGAGAGGCCTCAGGACACAGACTCAGAGCTGGTGGCAGTGTCCGAACCCGGAACGGCAAATGTCAGAGCTGGGAGGGCCCTGAGAATCGAGACTGGGAACGGCAGAGAAGGGAAGGACCTTAGCACATCCAAATGCCGGTGCACACTGGTACAGCCAAGCCCTCCCCAAACACTATTTCCCGGGGGGCTCACAACAGTCTTATGGGGGGTAGGAGCTATTTTAACCTCTGTTTTGCAGATGAGGAAACAGAGGCTAATCCCCACTACCAAATATCCGAGGGGGGATTTGAGCCTGCCGACTCCAAGCCCAGGACTTTATCTGCTACGTGAAGCTGCCTCAACAGACACAGAACATGCTCTTAGAAGGAGGCTTATCTTCCCTTCCTTCTACAGAGGAGGAACCTGAGGCCCACAGAGGGCAAGGGCTTTGCCTAAGGCCCCACAGCAGGTCCACGGCGGTCAGGACTGGAGCCCAGAACTCTCTCATTACCCTGGACTGGCCACCGCAGACCAGTGGCGGACAAGGCAGGTTCCCCAGCATCCCCTAGAAGACTCGGTGGGACATCAACACGACGCCAGGAGGCAGGCTTTTCCCAAAGTAGTGCTTTCCAGACAGAGGCTGGCATTCACTGCTGGCCTTTAACTTTTTGGAGTTTCACTGCCTTCCAATTTGGGATCACTTGTAAGGCTGCTAAGTATGAGATCGGTGCTTTTATCCACAGACCCAAGATCCCCGTGGCACTCCGCGGGGGACTTCTTGCCACACTGACATTCAACCACTAATGACTACTCTTTGAATCTGGCCATCCAATGATACCATGACCCACCTGGTTTACATGACACACAGTATCAAACACTGTATCGAAAGCAGCCCTCTGATCTACCAATCTCATAAGACTATCCAAAAAGGAAATGACATGAATCACGGTGACCTGCTCTTAGTGAAGTCAGGTAATTTCACTTTCTCTTCGAAATGCACAGAGAACTCCCCATCCCCCCAGCCCTCCTCATGGGGAGCCTCTGGAAGTCATGGGGTAGCTTCACTTTAAGGACATGCAGATTCCCAACTTCTGTTGTCCCTTGAAAACAGAGGTGGTGACTCAGCTCAGAGTGGGGAAGAGGAGAAAGCAGCCCTGTGCTCAGAGTAGCATCAATGGCATTAGACAAAGTCAGAAACACAAATCAGGCTAGTGAAATTCTCCCTGGGGACCCAAAGCA